ATTTTGCTGGCCCTACTCTTGTCAACTAGCAATATGTTGGCCATACCACAGCTTCATATGTAAGTCTTTTCATTCATATATTCATTCATTCAGTCAGTCAGTCATTTATTCATTCAACAAATATCACTTATGGCAACCACTGTAATAAGCATCCCTTATACCTCATGGTTTACAATCCAGAACATAGGTTTATGTTCTAGTGGGGAAGGTGGTTATGAATAAAATAAAATATGTCCCTAGATTTGGAAAAAACAAACATGATTTTGAAATAGAAAAGAATATAGGAAGGGCCAGAGTTTAATGTGAACAAGGTGGAAAGGGGCATTACAGGAGTTGAGAAATGTGTACCAAAGCGGGATTTTATTCAACATGTAAAGTGGAAAACCACTGAGAGGTTTTAAGGATCTATCACAATTTGATTTGTATTTAGAAAAGATCCAATCTCTTGCTCCGTGGAGGAAATACTGAAGGGAGGTAAGATAGAAGCTTGAAGATCAGTTAAAAGGCTGTTTCAGCCGTGATGGTGCCTTGGTCCCAAGTGATATAATTGGAAATGGAGCACAGTTAAGATGGTGGAGATAGAATAAATTGAATATAATTGTGACAGAACAGAAGAAATAAAAAATAACACTAATGTTTCTAGCATAAGTTATTTGATATACATAGGTACATTTGCAGATATGGATAAGATTGGGAGTTAGGACAGGTTTAAAGAAGACTTTCACATTCCATTGTGAGGCCATGAGGCAGTGAGGTGTACATGTCAAGAAGGAAGTACCAACTGTGAATCCAGAGACCAAAACTGTAGAGCTGGCTGGAGGTATGTATCTGTGAGTCACCAGCATGAAAGAGCTCACCCAGGAAGAGAGAAGGAGACCCAGAACTGAGCTTCAATGTATCACAACACTCAGAAATCAGGTAGAAGAACAGGACTCAACATGGCCGCTGCTAAGGACAAGACAGTGAGGGTCAAGAAAAATCAGGAGGCAATGGTGTTTTGGAAACTGGCAAAAGATAAGGATTGGGGGAGAGGCTAACCGTATTTAATGCTCCTGAGAAATCACATAAGATGAGAACAGAGAAATAAGTGATGGTGTAAGATCTGGCAATATAGATATCATTGGCAAGAAGATTCAAGAATAATGCTTAAAAAGTTTCAGTATCTCCCTGTATCTCTTAAGATAAAGTTAGATCTCTTAGAACCACAAAGCCTAGCAGAGTTTGGCTATCATCTCCCTGGGAAGGCACGTGTGTTTTGTTGTTGTTGTTTCTTTCTTTTTCTTTTATGTCTCTCTTTTTTTTAATTGAGATATAATTGATATGTAACATTGTGGAAGTTTAAGGTATATAATGTGTTGATTTGATACATTTATATGTTGCAACATTCCAAGCTCTGCTTCTCTTTATGCCAGCAACACATGTCTCTTTCAGTTCCTTGAACACACTCTCTTTCTTTCAATATATATGGTTCTTTCTGCCCGGAGTGCTCTTTTTTTTTTCTCCCCATGCCCACTAAAGTTCCATTATTTTTTTAGGTCGACCTTCATTGCTTGTTATTTCAGGTAAACTTCACCTCACAATTAGACCAAATACCCTATTATATGCTTAAATCATAGCATCAAGTACGTCCTGTGTGCTGAACTTGTCATGGTGATTGGTTAATTAATTATTGTCTCTTCCACTAAAATGGAGTAGGGAGGGAGCATGTCTGTTCTGATCACCATTCCTTCTTCATATTAGAAAAAATACCTGTCTTATATGCTAGGAGATAACTATATATTTGTTGAATGAATGGATGGATAATGTTTGCTTCTGCAGTCAATCTCATGTAATCTGTTTCTCTCTTTTTTAAAAAAATTATTTATTTGAGAGAAAGAGAGAGAGAGGAAGAGGAAGTGTGGGGGGGAAGGGCAGAGGGAGAAGGAGAGAAAGTCTTAAGCGGATTCCATGCTAAGCTTGGAGCCTGACACGAGGCTTGATCTCATCACACTGAGATCACAACCTGAGCTGAAACCAAGAGTCTGACGCTAACTTACTGTGCCACCCAGATGTCCCTCTGTTCTTTACATAACCTTTATTATATGTGACTGAAATACTTGGGAAATGATGATTAATTTAAATAAATACCACTTACTTATTTAATATTACAGTTTTTAGAATCTATTAAATTAATCAGCTATGATTATTTTAAAATGTTATTAATCAAACTTCGTGACTATTCTGGATACATGCTATTTCAACGACTCAAGAAGTGCCATATTCCTTACTACATTTAAATTCTGATGTTGTTTCCTGGTCCCTTCCCAGCCTCAGTTGTTCAGAATCAAGAGAGTAGATCACATCAATTTGTCACAAATAGTCCTATTTCTATGGAAGTGTTCTGCTCCTCCTGTCTAGGGCTTGGATACCAGGCCAATGCATGATAAAGCATAGATTTCCTCAGATGCTCTGTGGAAAGGCTAGCTACTAACCAGACTCCTGCCTAGATAACCCAGTTTCATGCTGTCCACTATCAAAGGGAAGCTGTGCTTTCTCCCCCGGCAAACCGCTAGGGTCTTCCTTCTTGTCTCCCTCCTGACGCTTTTTATCTCAGGATTATCAATCCTCGGGCTCACCATTGCCTCCATTCTGAGAATATCTGAACTGAACACAAATTTATCCATTGCTATCTGTCTACATTAGGCTCTACTTCTTTATACCTTTGTAGTATACAATATAAGTTTGGCTAACCAAAGTCTAATATTTCCTAGACACTAGACTCGATTTTAGTACATGAAAACAACACATATAATTCAACTCATGTATTGTGAATTAGTCTCAGTATTTCTCGGGTAGAATCTCTCTGCCCACTTATTTAAAATGGAATTTAGTCCAAGTTCTTACTGTTTCTTCAAAGTCATGATCTGCAAAAATCTCTCTTTAAGGCTTCTGAACCCCTCCTATCTTTAGCTTGTTATAGAGGATACTTCTTATACTTGACTCCCTTGAACGTCACGCACTCTCTTCCTGGCCTCTAGTTTTGCTAAATATGCTGCCATAATAGCAAGCTAATAGAACACAAGTATTTGCTTACAGATATTTAAAGCAAACCCCTGGATAGTTTTCCATTGCAAATGTATTTGGAAAAATAGGTTCGATAGTTGAGTACTTGAATTTGTGACTCCTGACACATATCTCTTATTAAGCTTACCTCCTGAAGAATAGTGCTTCTATTTGCAGCTATATTATTTAAGAAGACACTTGCAAAAAGAGAACAACATCATTTTTATGGAGTCAATGTTCTATCTTTTAGAAATTGAAAATTTTTTAAATACATAGTAAAAAGGACTGGGGAAAGAAGTGAGAAAAAATGAAGAAGGTTAGTAAAGCAAGAAAGGAAAGTAACATGAAACTTAGAGATGGTTCAAAACATAACTTGTCTACTTCTTAGCTGTGAGAACTTGGACGTACCACCTAAACCCTCTGAACTAGATGGGGAAGATGGGGAATAATAACATTATTTGTCTCAAGCGTTGTACAAATTAGATTATGCATTTAAAGTGCTAAGCATATTCCTGGGCATAGCAACAGCCCAATAAGTTAGCTATGGTAATAATCAAAATAAAATCAATATCATACCAAAAATCTCATTATAATATTATTATTCAAAATTTCAGATGTGGGATTATTTTCATTTGCTCAAAGGGATGGTGTGCAAATTTAGCTCTGTAGTTCCCAGTAGCCAGTGACAAGGTAAAACAATGAGTTTGTAAATATGGAAAGATCTATTCACTGAAACACAAGAACCCTTCAGTAGTGTTTTCTAAATGAGGATTGTAGAGTTACTGCAAGGGTTCTGTTTGTCTGTAAGTCCCTTAAGTATCGTATATGGCTCAAATCATAGTGCCTTGTGCACATGTGCACTATTCGTTTTAAATGAATCCGATATTGTGATAATGATAACCAATTTATTTAATTGTGTTACTGAATTCATAGTAGCTTTTTACCAGTATGCATTTTCCTAACCGATGGACTTGCCAAGAACACTATCAGAATCATGAAGAGTGCTGTATATTAATTTGCTGTCTTTTAATCAAAAAGATTGGGAGTGTATTGCTGAGGGGGAAAAAAAGTTAGCTTTTGTAAAAAACAAAACAAAACAAAAAAACCCCACCAAAAAACAAACACCCCAGCTCTCAATTTCATCACTCTTCTTTCCCTCATCAACAGCACTGAAGACCTCTCAAGTCACAGAAGCATTCTGTTTTTTAAGCAGGATTTGCTGCTGTAGACAGGACTTTCTGATTCCATGGCTAGCCCCACGGGGATCTGTGAAAGATTTGGGGTTTGAATGTCTTCCTAGTAAAATGACACTGGTTGCAAAAATAACCAGATAGGTAATTGTTTAATTGTTTGCTTGGTCATTTTGAATCAAATACAGGTATTTTCTACTAATTCAATCCTTGTGTCATCTTGCCAACTCCCATTTTGGTATATCCACCCTGGATCTGTTTTATCATCTCGTAGGTAAGAAAATTCTTGATTATTTGGGGCGGGGGGAGGATATGCTTTTTTTTTTAAGTTGTAATGAATACTGTAAGGGAGTATTATTTGGAGACTTAAAAAAACATCTTCCTTGAAGGAAAAAATCTTTTAAAAGGCCTACTAACTTGGTCTAATTACTTGAATTAAGGAAGTAAGATGCTTTTGCACTGACTTTGAACAACTTTCTTGACTTCCTGCAAAGAGGATTCTTGACAGTATTTTTGGAGAAGTTAGTAAAACCGAATCTGACATCACTACCTAGCAGTTTGTGTAGCTAGCAAAGTGGTTTGTTCTTAGGGTAGCAGAGGAGGAAATTGCTCCCTGTCTGATAAGACAACAGCAAGGAGTATGCATTCATTTCTTTTATTTTTGACTCAGTTTCACAAAGAAAACCTCTGGCAGAGATAACTATTATTTTGCCTTTCAGAAGGACGTATGCTGTTTCATAGGAATACGGCTGATTTCCAGATATGACCATGTATTTGTGGCTTAAACTTTTGGCATTTGGCTTTGCCTTTCTGGATACAGGAGTGTTTGTTACAGGTAAGTACAAGGATATTAATCTATCCTTAGTTATTTTTTTTTTCCTTGTGGAGGGACGTGGGTTTGAAATAGACATAAAAATAAGTTAAGTGTTGGTGATTGGAAATGAGGAAGCTCACTATAAAATGGTCAAAGCTATTGTAGCTCAGAGACACAAGTCTTGCTATGTGACAGAATACATTGTTACTGTTTAAAAAGGCATAAATGTTTTGGGGAAAAAAATCACAATTTAAAAGAAACGTCTATCCGTATCTTTGCAAACTGTTCAAGGGTATTACAAAAGCAATGTTGTTACTTAACCCTCAAATACGTGAATATAAGTTTATGAAAGTCTGAAGAAATCTTAATGACAAAGTAAGTGAATTTTCATCCTTTTAACAAAAAATGATTTTTTAAAAGTCATAATATGGCTTTGGTTGCATGTAAGCCACTCTTTCTTTTTGAACTGGAGTTTGCTTCCTCAAATTTTGATTACTACTGAAATATTTTTATTGAATACTTAGCTATATGATAGTTTAAAATAATACATTTGGGTATTTAACAAAATATTAATTTTATGCATACTCTCAACACAGAATATATTTTAAAACAAGTTTTTGGTTTCTTCCTAATAGTTTTAATGATTATTTGCTTTGGAAATTTTTACGGGGCCACCGCCCTTCCTGGGTGATGGGTAAATATTAGAGCCTTGATGAGATAAAAATATTTAAACTCTTAAGAGTCACGCAAATACTATATTCTATAGGAAAATGTAATGGGGAATCTCAAATATTCATTTAAGTTGAAGATCTTGGTATATTTGTTATCTATTTAATGGGCATTTCTTGAATAGTTTCGGTTTGGGTCATGGATGCATTTCGGTTGATTGTTAAATGTAACTAATAAATCGATATTTAATAGATACTACTTATGATGTAGTATCTAAAAGCTGTTCTTCAATATTGAAAGGACATTGAAAATGGCATTTTTGTAGAAATTCCAAATAAGTTTTAAAAAAAGGGAAAAAATATTTTTTAAAAGTCTTGCTTACTGTAATTGACTTTGAAATCTGTTCTTGACTTTCCACCACTCTTCTTTCCTCTAAAAGGCAGGGCAGTAGCTACCTCTAGAGCTTGTTACATTGTCAGTTGATACTTTGTGTAACCAAGAAGAATGGAAAGCAGTGTAAGATACTGTTTTGTTTTTAACTGCAAAGATGGGTTAAAATTTGTTTATAGAGATACAGCATTTTGTCTTAATACAAAAAATGTTTATCAATTTACCTTCCCTATAAAGTTAGTTTATCATAACCAAAACCAAATTATAATGAATAATGATTTTAACCGGGTGATAATATATATATTATCATAAATCAGAGTGAATATTCATTAAAAATTCCCACTCAAGAACTGTTGCAAAGCATTTCTAAATAAGCACAAAGAAACACTGAAATATTTTCTAGGACCCAGAGCAAATCACCACAAAAATTTTAACTCACTCTATTAAGGATTTTTACCATAAGAAATACCTTTCAATTTATGATCAAAGTAAGAGAGTATAAAGTTATCCAGAAACCTTTAAATCAATTGTGCTGAACAATTTGTACTTAAATAAATAGATAGATAGACAAAGATTTATTTTGAAGGATCAAGTTTTTCTTCAATTGCTTACATAAATATCAAGAGCAAATACTTTTTTAAAGGCAATGATAGTCTTCCTGAAATTTATACTTATTTTTAGAAAAAAAAACATAAGAATCGAATTATCTATGTCTGCAAATCTTGCTTATCCTTTTAAGTTCTGAGGGACGTTTTGTAATTCAATGTGTGATTTGGGAAGTTATTAATGTTTTAAATTATTTTTTTCTTTATTAGCAACAAATGAGTTTGATTGTATGCTTGATTTTAATGTGTTACAATTGAGTTTAGTGATCATAGGAAGTATTAGGCTTTTGGGCATCAAATTTATATTGTGTACTCTAAGGGAATAAAAAACCAGAGCCAAATGTAGTGAGACATCAATTAATGGATAAATATATGCACAATTCAGATGTGTTATTTAACACCTAAAGTACAAATACAGGCAAGGCAAAATTAAACCTTGCCATGGCAAATATGCTGGGTTGAGTTTTACGCAAAACTTTCTAATCTCTTTGCTCTGTGCCTCTTTGCCATGATACCTGGAAACCTTTGTTGAACATTTTTAAATAGTTTTAGGGACAATGATAGTTTTGAGAATGCAGATAGAGATGAGTGTTCTCTGACTCTAAAAAGGTGTAAAGCTAGGCAAATCTATCAGTCTATAACATGCCAGCTAGAGTTTATGAGTTAGATTATGTGAGTTATGAGTCATAACAGTTTAGATTCATTTCCTGGTCATAAGTCTCCATTTTCCCAGCGACATTAAGAGAAATATTTCATGTTATAAGCATGTATTATGCCTTGCACATCTCAGGCTTTCAATACAAATTATGAATTGAATTTAATAAGCAATCTTATTAAGTTCTAAATACTCCACAATTTAGAGATTTGTGGGTATAGACATTAATTTTTATGCATCTTTTACCAAGCATTTTTCTAATACAAATTTGCCTGTGATCCTTACCATTGCTAGAATTTGAAATGCATTTTGTTTGAGAAAAGGTAAGGTGGACTTAGGGATCTGTCTTTCCTTTTCCTCTCTTGTTCTATGTAATTAAGTAGAGGGGCAGAGTGGTTAGCTTGGGGGCTGGGTCTTTTCTCTGTTCTGGGATACTTGATATCCTTTCACCAGTGACAATTAACTAGTGTAAGAATATAGATATTAAAAAAAATATAGATATTTCGACACTTCGTATAAATACACATATACTGATGCATACACATATATATTCTAGTGTTTATGTGTGGATTATACAATCCACACATACACGTATCTGCTTATCTATCTCCTGGTTCTTCATATTTGTCTACTTTTAAATATTGGAGTTCTATAGGCTTTAATCCTTGGCCAGTTTTATTCTTGTTTTCTCTGCTCAGAGTTCCTTAACATTACCTGCTTTATACTGGTGATCCTGATTTTCCATCTCCAGACTCATTTCTCTGAGGTGCAAGAAAAAAAAACTGAAATATATTTAAATGCTCCTCAAGTCTTATAATTTTACTTTTTAATAATCTTTAAAGTCTTTTCCCCTTTCTTCATCTCCATTGACATCGCCTTAATTCATGCCTTTATCATTTTTTACCTGGAGTATTATTATAGTTTCTTAATCTCTCTGCAGTCTCATCCATTTCCTTCTATACTCTACACCTTAAAAATATAAAATAAAAGGAAGAAAAAAACCCTCTGATAACTTCCCATTGCCTTTAGTATACACGTTAACCTCCTTGCCAGAACAACTGAGTCCACCGGTGAGCTAGGAGCTGGGCCTGGAGCTGGGCAGGGTGTGTTTTGTCTTTTTTCCTGTATGATTCATTAACCCACAGGAAGCAGTTTCAACACTCTGCTCGGCTCATCTACACTTCCTCAGGACCTTGAAGGCTCTGTGCAAGTCCTATTTCGTCTTGAATGTTTTCTTCTGTCACTCCTGCCACAAAATATCTCCACTGAAATTGTAGGCATTTGGCCACCTTTCAGTGGCATTTTTCACATACTATTTCAATTTGTTGGTGGTGGTGGTATTAGTATTATTATTTACCAATCAGTGTCTTTTCTTCCATTGTAACCTGTGTGTATTCACAAACTATGTTTTATGCCTTTTTTTGTATCATCTGTACCTGATGTCCTACCAGATACTAAAAAAGTAATGGATGTTTTTTGACAAAACTGAAGATTATAATAATGAAGGAGAAAGAGAACACAAATAAATTCAGAAATAGAAGACAGAGGCAGAGAGAAATATGAGACAAAAAAATTAGCCAGAGGCAAAGTGGAAGGATAGAGGGAGTTAGACAAGTCATCAGGATTAAATAAAATAAGTTTGGATTTGGATCTCTATAGGTTTTACATTTTTAAAAATTTAATTTATTATTATTATTATTATTTTGCTATTTCCTTCTTTCATCTCCCCATTTTCCCTCTTATCTGGAAAACCCTCCTAAATTCTTAAAAATCCATAGTCAAGAATGTTATTCCTAAGTATTTCTTGGCCTACTCTTTGGACACTTTTGCTAATGGCATTTCCTTTGGTGGGTTAGTTTTGTTCTTCAGATACAGGTGACTCTAGGAAGAAAAGTGAGGAATCAGGTGGGGGAGGAGATACTCATCTAACACAGGGACAAAACACAGGGAGTCAGGTCCAGTCCTTGAGAGGACAGCCATGGGCGCTGGTAGTGTTGTGGGACTGTTTTCAGGGCTCACTCTATGCATTGCATTCTCTGCACACAGAAAGTTTGTAAGGAGTCTGGGTATCATTTATTACCAGACAACATGGTAATTTCAGTTTGAGTAGGTAAAAAGCAGAGATTTATAGTCAGGTTGATTAGTTTTGTTGGTGAAAGCACAGTGTTAAAACACACAAGGTTTTCTGTTCAGATCATGTATATGTAAGTTACCTTGGTACAGAGAAAGAAATTTGTCATCACCAAACACCTTTGATCTTTTTTGGTCATCATATAAATTTGTGGGAATATTTACACAGGAGAAAATTGGAATGGAAATTGAACTTAATCTCACTTTAAACTTAATTTCAGTCTAGTCTAAATAGCTGTGTCAGTACTAGATACCCAACTCCATACTATTTGCATATCACTAAAGGATTAGTGCTATGACTTTTATATACATAAGGGTAATACTCTTAAGGGAATGATGAAGAAAAAAATGAAATATTGCAAGCTATTCATTTAGTCATATGATGTGATATCTATTTCTACATAATCCTGAAATATATAGACATATTTTGTGTACATGGCCATAACCAATATTTAGATGAGAAAATATCTAATCATTGCCTAAAATTTTTAATATGCATTCATTTTTATATGTCAAGGTGTTACTTCAGTTTCAGTCTGTCAAGAGTCTGGGGAATGGATACTGTAAGCAGT